ATATGGTGCAAATGTCATCATCTTTGAAGGAATCATGGCCTTTGCATATAAGGATTTGCGAGATGTAAGCCTTAAAACTCACTTGCCTTTTGTTAAAACATTACTTTGGTTTTGGTTTAGAATATCATACTTGTGTTCTTGAATGTTTAACTCTTTTTAGTTGATGGATATGAAGGTTTTTGTTGATGCTGATCCTGATGTTCGCTTGGCAAGACGGTAAGTTAAGACTTTTCCAGTTATTTGTTAAAAAAAAAAAGTTGAATCAATAATAAGACTGAGTGGAGTCCATTTCGGTCTGTAATTATAGTGATTACCAAAATCATAGTGATTAACAGGCGACTGTGAAGGGGGAGTCTGATTTGTTAATCAATCAGTACCATAGGAATTTTAAAGAGAGCAGCATGGAGATAAATAATGACTATACTAAATAATGACATACTAATGCTAGAATGTGTAGGGTTAACGCATCCAGTTGAAGGGAAAAAAAAGAGGAAAAAAATTGTTTGCTTAATATATACTTTCTAAATAATTTTTCAAACATGTCCAATTCTCCAGGCTGAAAAGAGACATCTCTGAACGAGAAAGGGACCTTGTTGGTGTCTTGCAGCAATACAACACTTTTGTGAAACCTGTATGTACCTGTATTTGGCAGACTACAGTATTCCAACATTTAATCTGAACTTCCTGTAGGAGTAATTAAGAATATATATGTGTTATTTACGTGTAGAAGTAGTTCAGTGCAGTTCTTCAGAGGTATCTTTGTTAATGGCTAAGGGCCCTGAGCCATGAGCCATGAGCCTTTTGATATGCAGTTGCTAGACTCTTGTAACATGTTCCCACAACTTTTTCAAGTATGGAGAAAGTAAAGCTTCTCTGTCCATTCAGGGTTATTTATCAATCCCTTCAGGATTACTACTTAGTCCCTTCAGGATGATATCTGCTGCATTTAAGTTTCTCTCCCCTAACCATTTGAATCTGTGATTGAGCAGCTCAACTCCATCAGTTTTTCAGTGTGCCCCTCACAGTTTGCCAGCTCCTTTTCTTTGCTCTTTTGTAGAGTGAGATTTTGTTGAATTTGTTGACTTTTCTGCAGAAGCTAAAAAGTGCTTATTGTTTGTCACCTTCCTTCATTTTCACATCTTTTGTATTATTCCTTATTCAGGCCTTTGATCAATACATAGCACCAACAGTTGTTTATGCAGACATTGTTGTCCCAAGAGGTGTGTATGTTTTATGAGAAATTTTCTTTGAATTTGCCATCATGAAAGTCCTGTTGATAGTTTTCTTAAGACATTTTCATCAAGCAGACTAAATTTTAAACAATACTTTTTCAAACGAAAAACAGTTACTTTTCCTTTAAACCCTTGCTGCCTAAGCATATGGTTCCTTCTTACAGTATCACCCTTTAATTACACATCAAGATCATGAAAATAAAGGAAATGATCACTAACTGTAGAAGCTCTTGATTGTTAAACAAATTCTCCTTGTCAGAACTTTAGGAAATGTATAGAGAACAGTATGGAGAATATGCATACTGATGTTAGGGTGTAGAGGGTCAAGATGTATTAAAAATTTTTCTTTCAATTTCTAGGTGGTGAAAATAATGTTGCAATTGATCTGATTGTGCGCCATGTTAGAACACAGCTGGAACAGGTTAAATTTGGCTTTCTCATTTGCTTTGATTTTCACCTAAGACACGTTAAGTTTTATTTAGAGAAATCATTAATTTTCTTTATCTCTTTATTGTTTTGCATTTCCCTTCAGAGAGGATTTAATTTCAGGTATGCAATAAGTTTGACGCAGTTGTTGAAAACATGACCATTTGTTAGTTTTTACATTAGCATTTTACATTTTACATTTTACATTACAAAGTGTCTTTATTTGCATTATCAACTCGGTTGATAATAACCCCTACCTCAGCCTCACAGTTTCTTTCAAAAACCTTCCCACTAAACATGAGATGGCTGATTAATTTCTCTTTAGGAAACTATTAAACCTTTAACTCCCAGATCAAATTTGTAATTCTCTTTACTGTCAACCATACAATTCTTATAATGTTAATTTAGAGAATTTAGTATTTGATCAACTAATTATCCCCAAATTGACATTTGTCATTATTCTCATCACTTATCTGGTTGATATTGTAGTGATATTGTAAGGAGAAATTCTGCCTTGGTCACTCATGGGAGTTAAAAGGTTTAGAAATAGCTCACTCAGTCTTTGGAACTGCTCATAAGGATAACTTTTAATCACAAGCTCTGCTACAAAAAGAATGACATAGTACATTTTGGGCCTTAATGTCATGAATTGCACATTTTTTTTGTTTAAATCTTTTCATTAAGTTACTTTTTAACTGACATGTTGTACCTCTGTTATGTACTCTGATGATTTACAGAGCACAGCTTCGGTCGTTCCATCAAGGACAGCCACTACCTAGTTCACTGAGTATTTTAGAAAGTACACCACAAGTCAGAGGATTACATGCAATTATTAGGTTAGTATTGTGGATTTTTTGGTCTTCAATGATAACACAGCAACACAAGACAACTGCTCAAGTCACTAAACTTTTACAGTAACTGATAACTCTTTAATAGCTAAGAATGAAACTAAACAAAATTGACTTTCAGAATTGCTTATAGAAGAGCACTTTAAAGTTTATTTTTTAAAATTCTGATAACTCCGAACTAGTTGTGAAGCAAGCAGTAGAGTTAAAAAAAAACAAACTTCAACCTGCAAGTCACAAAGAGACCTAATAACAGAGTTTTGTGGACATAGAGAGTTGATACATTCATTTGAATAACTTAGCTTGCAAGCACATTTCTTGAATATCTTAATGGTAATTTTTTTTTTTCAGGAATGAGGAGGCCAGTCGAGATGACTTTGTCTTTTATTCCAAGAGGCTGATGAGAATTCTTATTGAACATGCACTTTCACTCTTACCATTCAAAGTAAGTAGATTTCCTTCATCTTGTCACAAGTGTGAGACAAAGAGGAATCCTGAGTTCCACCAGAAATTAAAACCCAGACCTTTGGTTTCCTTGCTCTGAAGCTCCTATGAGTGGTAGAGAACTCAATGGTGAGCTAAGCTATCATTACATTCGGTGAATTAGTATGTGGAACATTTTTGCTGTCTTGAGGTGTTAAGCTTTGATGCTGTTACCTTAATTTGGTGCATTTTTACTGAGCATGCTTGATGCTGTTACCTTAATTTTGTGCGTTTTTATTGAGCATGCTTGATTCTGTAGGGCAAACAAATTAACCCAATCAGGCTTTTCTGTCAGTTGTGAGTAAACAAATCTTTATGTCATGTATTTGCAAACTTCCCCAATTTGTAAGAGTTTATTCTATTCAGAAAAACAAAATCAGTCTAAACCTTCAACAGTATGTACTGTAGATGGTTAGTGTATATTTAATTTAGCATGAACTCCTTGTGATGTCAGTTGTGATATACTTGTGTTTTTTTTTTCGTTTAGAAACATGTGGTGACAACAATGGAGGGCAAAATTTATGAAGGAAGAAAATTTGCAGGGAAAAGGGTAAATGAGACAAAATCTTTTGCTCTTTTATGATGCAATGCAAGTTTCATTGTCGTTTACAGTAGGACTTGCTAAATACAAAACCTCTCAGTACCAGAACAGGTGCTAACTTGGGAGAAGTGGTCATGGTCAAAGGCTTTTAACCCTTTATCTCCCAAAATTTGCCTGTATCCATTCAATTACCCCTGGGTGTAGAGAGGCACTGTGAGTAAAGTGTCTTGACCAAGAACACAACACATTGACCTAGGCAGGTTTCAAACCCAGACCTCTCAACCCAGTTTCCAAAGCACTGACCAGAAGGCTATTGCATCTGGGGTGAGTAAAAATTTACCACCTGAGCATAGTGGCCTATCCAGCCTAGCTTATCCTGGTCTCTGTTGCATGGTTTAGAAGGTTTTCCACTCCTCTTGGATGAGATGCCAGTGTATCACAGGTTGCTTACCTGATACTTCACCAGTACCCATTTGTACTCTTGGGTGGGGAGATGCATTGCGAGAGGAAAGCGTCCTACCCCAAAACACAACAAAATGACCTGGCCAGGTCTCCAACTTGTACCTCTCACCTGAGAGGCAGGGTGACCATTAGGCCTCTGCTTGTGCCCCAGAGTGAGGGAAGACCTTGATTTACTGAACAAACTGTTGTCATGCTTCTTTGTAGCTGTGTGGTGTATCAATACTGAGGGCGGGTGAAACCATGGAGCCAGCTCTAGAGTCTTTGTGCAAAGATGTCAGAATAGGAAAGATTCTCATTCAGACCAATGAAATAACATCAGAACCTGAGGTGAGGCCGCTAGGTAACACAAACATTGAATTTCCTTTCACTGTATCTCCATGATTTGTCCATCTTTGAGTCATTTAAAATTTTTCAGTTGTTCACCGGCAATAAGTGTCAGTCCTCTCTTTCTATAACCAATGTGGTTCTATTTGTTTTTTTGCCTACCTTTTTGCTGGTTGTATACCCATTGAAATGATTATTTTAAGGTTTCACTTTGTTTTAACCTTTAGCCCCTTAGAGTGATTAGCACCCAATTTCTCCTTACAATATCACCCTGAATAAACATTAGGTTATGAGAATAAAGGAAATTATCACCAGCTTAAGAAGCTCTTGATTTTTAAACAAATTCTCTTTGTCAGCACCTAAAGAATGTAGAGAATGTATAGTTAGCAGTATGGAGATTATTCATACACTTAGGTGTAAAGAGACGGTCCAAGGGATCATTTAGTTGTTTTGCAATCTGTACAAGTTAGCCTTTTCCCAGGCTAAATGCTCTTTGATTGAGTTTCAGAGCGCGCATTTGGATTGAGTGTTATAAAACCAAAACCAAACGAATTACAACAGCCAGTCATTAACTCTTGATTGTGCCACGATTGAGACACCATTTTTTTCACTTTATTTTAACACAAGTCTCTTTTTTTCTTTTTTCGTTTTTCAAGCTTCATTATCATCGTCTTCCAAAGGGCATTAGTGAAGATCATGTAATACTTATGGACGCTACTGTGGCAACTGGTGCAGCAGGTTGGTGAATTTTCAGTTGCATATCATTTGTTGCGTACATTTAGTGTGATATTGAGTGACAAATCAGTCACAGGCCAGAGGATTTCTGGCAGAGTTAACCCTTTATCTCCTGGAAGTGATTGAAATGTAACCTCTCCCTATAATATCCATTCATTATCCAGTAAACAGGTAATGAGAATACTCAAACTTATCAGCTAGAAGTTGTTATCTTGATCTATTATCAAATTTTCGTAACCATTTTACATGGAAATGTGTAGCAGCTAGAAGGGAGAATCAACGATCAGATCATGTGAATTAAGGGTTAAGAGTGCTCACTCCTCTTACAAGATTTGTTTTCTTTTTGCAGCACTCATGGCTATCCGAGTTTTATTGGTAAGAGGAGTAATCTAAATACATATAAGCTATATACGCAGTGGTACTTGCTGTGGAAGGGAATTAAAAAAGACTTGGACGTGTTGAGGATCATGAAACTCACATAACTTTTAAAGTTTAGCATTAAGTTATTTAGGTTTTTTATAGTTTGGCGCAAACAATCCATGTTATTCTTCTCTGCTCGTAGGCAAAATAGTTTGTAGTATTTCTCTTTTATTATTATATCTTTCAGTTAGAATGTGCGCTACGATTGGTTAATTTAGCGGGTCGTATTACACTGTACAGCCCGCTAAATTCAAAAGTTTGTTTGAATTGAAATCTTCCCCCTTTATTTGAACCCAAAGATATCCTAAATATCTTACTAACCTCGTTTTCTCGGTCCGTACCGTAAATTGCGAAACCTGTTTTTTTTTTGCTCGGATTCATGGCCCGCACGCTTTTCGCTCGGGCCACAAATAGCGCAGATAACTCGGTCCGTAACTTACGATACTGATCTCGAGCTCGGTTGGTAAGAGGTATGCATTTCTCCTAGTGTCCTTTAATTCGACTACAGTTCGGAATTATTGAACTACAAGAGTGTTCACCTTTACTCAACTACAGTGATGTCTTAATAGGCTTCGCTTTTGAATGTGATAAACGGTCAGCGGAATTCGAGCGTAGACTTAGTTCCCGTTAACCCTTTAACCCCTGAGAGTGACTAGCATCTAATTTCTCCTTACAATATCACCCCAAAATCACACATAAAGGTCACAAGAGAAAAAGGGAAGTGATCACCAATGATCGAAGCTCTAGATTGTTAAACAAATTTTCCTTGTCAGCACCTTAGGAAATATATTGAGAACATTATGGAGAATGTGTCTCTTGATATTTGGGTGTAATTTTTGGTATTTTATACGATGGAGTGATTGTTTATCCTTGGGCCTTTTATTATTCGATAAAACACACACTGAGATCAATAACACTCATCTTGCAGGACCATGATGTTAAAGAGGAGAATATTTTGTTCTTGTCTTTGATAACTGCTGAATCAGGTACGTTAACTTGTTAAATATATATAATGTAGGTTTAATAACCAGTGTAACTTATTAACACATAACTTTCTATCTTTTCTTCATTTTTAAACGAAAAAGGGGAAAAAGAGATGTAACGAAAAACGGTCATTCAATAGATCCGGGCAACGGATTCTGAAAACTCTGTACAGCCTTTTGAAGCCAGGCCTGAACTGAAACAGGTAGAGATCGTAGTTGGCCAAATCGGATATGGAGTGTGTTCAATTTTGGTCTAATTTAGTTAGTGGTTCTGAGGGACTAGATGACACTACCGTGCCAAAAAGTTGTCATGTGGGTACCCCACCCGGGAACGTGAAGGGCAAACTATCTGAAGGATGCGAGGCTTATTCAATGACAGCGCTTATTACAAAAATGGACGAGACAGAGAAATGCTTCTAGAAATTTAACGGTGCATTTTTGTTATCGAAACGTCTACAGAAGTTATCAAAGGTATTTCTTAATTTTCACGACGCTTCTCTTTCGATACATTTCAACTGCTTTACATCAACATCGATGACACTGTCTCCTTAATCTGAGTCTACGAGCTCCATCGTAGGGGGGTTCGCGGTTTCTTCGTCTGGGTCTGTGCATTCGAAAGGATTTGCATCTAGTTCCTTCAAGATATTCAACTGTGTCTGAAGCACTGCAGCTTGTAAAATAATTATTCGAATAAGTGCCGTACCGACGCTGCGGCGCTGATTAATCTTTTTGTCTCAAATGCGGCGCTTATTTGTGGGAAGCGCTTGTTCGAGTAAATTTGGTATTTGAAAAAATTCAGTAAAAAACAGGCGAGAGTTTACGTGCTTTATTGGGATGTAATGCTCCAATAAGGGGTAGTGTTACCAAATGACTGGCGAAGGGTTAGGGTCGCGTGAGGTGGACGAACACAGGCTACAACGGTACTGATGAGTCATCTGGTTTTTCAAAATCCAGGTACTGGAGGGCACTTACCATATTTGCCTTATTTCTATACAGAATAATAGCCAGGGGGGGCAAAAGGGGACTGTTCTTGTGTCTTAGAATAAGACGGTTAAACTGTTTTGTTGTAGGTGTCCATACAATAGCTTATGCATACCCGAAGGTCAAAATAGTCACAGCAGCAGTTGACCCAGAAGTGAACGATAAATACCACGTCATACCTGGAATAGGTGAGTTACACTTACTGACCAAATTGTTGATTCTCCCTACCGTACCCATACATTTTCAAACAAAACGGTATCGAGAGTACAGATAATTATCAACTTGAGGGTGTGTTAATGATACGAGACTAAATTGTAAGGAAATCACCAGCAGTTAGAGGGGAGGACTAAAAATTCCGATATTAGGAGTTTTTTAAATTCATCTGCACCTTATTGGCCCCTTTGTAACGCCATTGAAGGTTCATTCAGTCCAGCGCTCTAAAGGTGTTTCAAAAGCAGCCGAAATTCTCATCAAATTTGTAGTAACCCCTAGTAACAACAAAGCCACATTCACTGGAATAGACATATAAAAATGTAGGAAAATGCCATCGCAATAGTCCAAACCTTCAAAATTTCCTACAAGCGGTCTACCGCTGCCCATAAGACCTCCTATCGCCGTCTGTTGAGCCCGCGAGCAGGCTCTTGTGTTTTGCTCGACAGCTGGTTATGGAAAAAGATATTGATACCCCTGGGAAATCTAGACCTCCTTTGGAACAGGAGGCCCTCTACGCCTTCAAAACTACCACATGTTAATGAAACCACTTCCCCCAAAATGAATTTCTTCGAATTCCAAATAATTATTCCTTCTGGGTTTGTGTTGAGGATCATAATAAGGTTTTTCAGTAGCTTTCAACTTCACTGAACATTCAAAAGTATTCTGTTTTACATTTTCTATAGGGAATTTTGGCGACCGTTATTTTGGAACTGCGAACTGACAAGAATCTTACGGTGTTGTCGTAAAGTACGTTCATTTTTATAAAATGTTTCGTAGAGAGAAGCTTGTTTGTTAAAACATTTAATGGACCATTTTTATTAACAAATATGTAAAATATCACTATTGTATCATTTATTATTGAAAATTACACATGATATTAAAAAGAACGCCAAACTGGTTAACTTTAGTAATAATAACATCATAATTTTAACAAGCTCTTCTAGAGCGTCGAAATGCACTCGTGTTTCATATCTTTGGGATTGACGCTGACATTCGCAAGAGTATTTGTGAGGATATCTTATTTATTACCTTTTTTGATTGTAAAATGAACGATTATGTTAATGAACTGAAGGCGAAAAAGGATTATTGTAATTCAAGCATTGAAGTAAAGTTGGCAACGTCTTGAATTTGATTTGTATTCCTAGTTTCTTGACAATAAACAAAATATAAAATAAAAGTCTTTCCCATGTTCTTTATCAGTCGCACACCCTTCGTACTTGTAATTTTCCTTTTTGCCATCTTTTTTAAGCGATGCATTTCAACGCGAAGGAGTAAGGGAAACTTTTCTCCCTACTTCTCTTGCGCTTTGTCCCTATTACAAGTCGCTCGCCGTTAGCGCTGATTTCTCAGAGTGTACGCGAAAATTTGAGACGGTGGTCAGGAACTATCAACGCTATATCAAATCGTAACTCCTACCGCTCTAAATTGCTTGTTGCTAGAGAAACAGAAAACTTACGATAGATGTCTCCGTGTGTTAGAGAGACATGACCTCAGTTTTGTCTTGGTTTAGTTTCTGAACGTCTTTTTTATAAATGAAAATATAAATCGACCGCCGTCAGCCAATCACAAGGCTTGTATTTTCTTCGCAAACTTGACCATATGTTTTTTTTGTTTGTTTTTGGTGTAGGTGTAATGTGTTTTCGCAACCAGCTGTTATGAAACTAATAAAAATAGTTTATATTTGTCGTTTGTTCCTTACCATCAGCATACCCCTCAGGGTTGTAGGCAATTATTTTTTTTTTTGTGATTGATTTTTAACGAAGCATCCCTAGAAGACTAAACTTGACTTCTACCTTTTGCATCAAAGGAGAACTATCCTTCCACTGATCTTCGCAGTTAAAACAAGGAAAATGAAGCCTGGTTGCAAACATATACATGTATGATTAGCTCCCACTGTTATTTTTGTAAATAGTTCGCGCTCTAGTCGTTCTTGTCTACAGTGGCCCCGTTTTATTATCAATCTTTAATGTGCTTTGAAAGCTGCTCAGTTATCGAAGTCGTTCAAGATTGATACTGTGTTCGTTTCAGTAAAATCGTTAATTTTTTTCAGCTTCTAAGGATATCTCTATTCCTGGTGATTCCGTGCTCTCTCCTTTACGTACTAACTTTGCAGTCTTTTTCTTACCTGATTTCACTCTTCCTTCTGAATTTAGAGGTGATCCTGCAGTGTTTGTGTTACTCAGTGGCGAAGAAGAATTCTTCCTGTTTTTGACGGCTTTTTGCAAACCTTTAAGTCTTACGTTGATCTCGTTTATCTGCGAGAAGTTCATTTTAGATTTACCTTGCTCCGAGGGGTTTTCTTCAATGCCTTCTGTGCCTTCTTCGGCTAATGGCGGAAGAGGTTTGACCGGTTTCGGGACAAATTTATACCCTTTGCGATATGAGCTAGTGGTTTGTTGATTGAATATTCCATAAAGTCTTAACAAATCTTCCTGCACTGGCGTACAAGGAGTAAAAAAGGAAGGAACTATAATTCTATCAGGCGCAGTTAAAGGCCGATCCTTCTTCATCTTTTTCCTCTCGACAATGTCTGGAAACAGACAACCTTTCATCGCTTTTGCACTCACAGTCTTGCGCAACTTTTGCGTTGATTTTTCTGTCACTTTCTTATTTTCGACGGTGTAAAAAGGAGAAATAATCCGTTTTCTTTTGCGCTGCATTTCTTTTTTCCATTGTGCTGCAGTTTTGTAGTGCTCCAGGTCGCATACTTCCAACGAAGCCTTTCCATCTTCAATCAAAATATCTGCACACTGGGCATGCCCTACTTTTAGTGCATGTATTAGCGGCGTCTCTCCTTTGCTGTTTTGTGTATCCACACTTAAAGCGTAGTATTTCAATTTCTTAACAATCATCTTGACAATCGAAATATCTCCAACAGTAATTGCGTGAAAGAGTGCCGTGTTTCCATCGCGATCGACGGCGTTTAAATCATAGTCCACATACTGAAGAAACAGAGCGACAAGTTTTTTCCTTTTCAAAATACACGCATACGACAAGGTGGTAAGCCCTTGTTCGTCCTGAAAATTCAGGTCAGCTCCGTTTTTTAAAAGCATCTTTGCCAAGCCGAGTGCTTTCTCTTCGTCGTCTAGGAAACAAACCTCCATAATCACAGAACGCTTGTTTTGGCCTTTCCAGTTTATATCAGAGCCAGCTTCGATTAGCAATCGAGCTTGTCTCCAACGTTTGTTTCGAATGGCTTGACTCAAAGCCGTCATATCGCTTAAGAAGTAACTGTTAGCGATCGAACAATTTGCTATTCGCTCCTTATCGGCTAGAGAGTCAAACTTTTCACTTTGCTGCGAGTGAATTGACTCGAAATTACAATGACACCGCAAAAGTAAAAGCATAAGTGAATAGGCAAGTACAGTATGCTTAATTCTGGCCAATTGGGTGCAAAATAGATAACTACAGACAGGTGATACCGCACCGTGAATTATTTATTTTCTTAATAAGTCTGACTTTTGCGTGCGGGAGGGCGAAGACCATAACAAAGCGCGAAATTTTCTTCATTTTGATTCACGGAGAAAGAAAAATTTTAAGACAGACGAAAGACAAAAACTTGAAAGCTTTTACTTTTAACATAGACATGTTGGGTGCCCCAATGATAGAGTTTTTGCCCTTTCAGTGAATACAAAGCATAGAAAATATGTCTTTCAAAACATTTATTTTAAACAACGTCAAGGCGCTACATTGACATAGGCAAATTTTAATTCAAACATTTCTTGTTTTGATTCAAAGGATTTAAATTTTGCATATAAATTTATTTACAATAATATGGATAAATTTTTGTAACCAATTTGTTGGGGATATTTTGATTTACTCATGATATTGGTTTGCCACATTTTATTAAGATTTTGGCACTTTTTTAATCGCTCTGTTTTAAAAGAAACATTTTAATTGCCGCACGGTTTTTCCTGGGAAAAGGAGACAGAAAGATCGGTCATCGACGGTTAAATTTAACGCAAAGGTTGTATTTTATCAAGGAATCCTTTTGCAAAGGAAGAAATGCAGTGTCTTAAAAGAGAGAGTACATATTATCAGCTCTGTAGGATTGAAAAAAAACCAACGGTAAACTATGAACCAAGTTCGCATGAAAAACGAGAAAATTAGGCAAACTTTAAAGATTGTTTGCTGAAATTTCCTAAACGAAAAAAAAATAAGACGTAGCCTCTTGAATCGTTCAGCTGAAAATTGTCAAAAATATGGTATACTATTAACGGGAAAATCGGAAGCTGATCTTAAATAAGTTTGTTGGATGAGCCGCCTTGGACGTTGGTCACCGAATATGTAGCTTATTTGAAGTAAGTTTCTTTCAACGCAGCTACTGCTGGAAAAGTACTGAAGGTGCAAGTGATTGCACAAGATCAAACATGGCGGCGAACATGTGAGAGAACAAATTTGGAATGGTAAGCTCTTTGTGACGATTTTTTAAGTCTGTTCTTTTTACATATCATATCTCTTGTATGAAAAAATTAGCAATGTAGCTGTGTCTCTCATAGGGGAAGAAAAAGAAGCCGTTTATTGACAAGAGAAGTGCTCACAGTTTTCAACTTGTGCATCGGAGTCAAAAAGATCCCTTACAAGCGGACGAGGAGAGTTCTAAACATGTGTTACTACCGCTCGATTCTTCAAGTCAGGCATGTATTATTATCTAATTCTTGAAATTAAAGTTCTAGGATCTAAGCATTTATCAAATTTATCATCGGTCTGAAAAGGTCTGTAAACAACAGTCTTAAAAACACAGCACATGTTCCTCGGGTATAACAGCACTATTTGGTGTGAAAAAGTTTTGAAAGTTCTTCACGTTAAGTTTCATCAAGTTTCATAAAAAATGTTGAATTTGATTTTATTAGTTCAAAGACATTAGTGATAAACATTTACCGTTAATTTTTTCTTAGAAAAATTTGTGTTTGTGGAAAGAAACAATGGTCATTTGATAATAATATTTGAGGATATAGATGTTAAATAAAAAGAACAGTTATTTAGTTGGTTTTTGTGTCTGAAATGTTACCAACTCAAACTGAATGTGCCAGATAAAGTTAAGTGATATGACTTTTTCATCCAGGTCTTAAATTGTAAATAATCAGGCCATACAATTCATTGATACTCTAACATTTAAACCATCTGCTATAGAAATGTTGTTTATTAACATATATGTTCCCCTGAAATTGAGTGAATAATTATTTGCTTTACTTACATTCAGGATCCAAGTCAAATAGACTCCATGTAAGTATATTTATAATATTTTATTAAATAAATGAGATGCTATGAGGAATTTGATCAGTTAAAATCATTTATTGCACTGGTAAACTCATGAAAAAATTGAATTTTGTTTCAGAACAGCTTGGGATGTTGGGAGAACACTTGAAAAGTGTGTTAATCACTTACCTCTATCTTGTGATTGACATATTTTCCGTGAGTTTCCCAACATCCTGTTTAGGTAATTACACTGGTAAAAAATAGAAAGTGCAGTCAATTGCTTAAAGTATTAATATATTCATAATCATAATTCATCCAATTGATTGTGGTGACTTTATAAAACCCTTTTTACATGCATGATCCAGTACCAGATGCTACAGTTCTTCACTAGAAAATCCTCTATCCTCTGTAATAGTCTTCTTAACCCTTTAACTCCCAAGATCTGACTATTAATTCTCCCCTCTAGCTGCTACACATTTCCTTGTGGATCAGTTATGATAATTTAGTGTTAGATCATAATAACAACTTTTACCTAATAAGTTGGAGTTTTCTCAATACCTGTTTGTAGGACAATATATGGATATTATAGGGAGAAATTCGATGTTAATTACTTCTGGGAGTCAATATTTAGTTGACATCCACATGTAAATACACAGAAAAATACAAGAAAACCAAACAAAACAAATTAGAAGAGCCAAAACAAAAAAAGGAAAAACAAAAAAAAAACAATTTAAAGTAATGTCTTTAATATTGAGGTTGTTGTCCTTATTTGTAACATTGTACTTTTTTATTTTCCTGTCTGTACACCAGACCAGCGTGATATCGTAATTACTGTAACTTCTGAATTTTGTACTGCGTCAATATCACTTTATTGATGTTGCTATTAATATTATTGCAATTGTTTCTTCAGTGATGAGCATAAAAAGAA